TGTCCCCCCCAGCTTCAACTACCTCTGCTGCTGCTGCACCCACCAAACCGGCAGCCAACAGTACGCCATCCTCCACCTCCACCTGCCAGAATCCCGCTGCCGCCGTCCCTCCCAACACAACCACTGCCTCTGCTGCTGGGGCAGCTACAGGTTGGATGCTGCCCATATTTTAATAAATTATTGTGTCTGAAAATGCTTTGTTTGTTGTCTTATTGTATTATGATTTACACATTGGCAAAGTTGGTTATGTAATGAAGGATTATATATTATTATATATAATATTACCAATTATATATTCAAATGTTTGAAATAAGATTTTTTCTAAAGTCTCTTATGTTCACCAAGGCTTCATTTATTTAATTAAAAATACTGTAAATGCAGTAATGTGAAATGTTACAGATAAAAATTATTTTCTGTTTTAAAATTTCTAAATGTGATTTATTTCTGTGATGCAAAGATGAATTTTTATCATCTGACACAAAGGCCTGTCGTAATGACTGCTGAAAATTCAGTTCTACCATCACAAGAATAAATTACATTTTAAAATGTATTCAAATTACAAATGACAATATTTTTACAGTTTTACAATATTTATTTGTATTTTAATAAAATAAATGCAGCCTTGGTGAACATAAGAGACTTCTTTCAAAAGCATAAATTTTTTTAATCATTCTAAACTTTTAACCAGTATTGTAAATTATTTATGTATTTTTGTTTATTAATTACATAACATTTATTGTTGTTATTATTTAACTATTGAATTATATATAATGAAATATATAATTTCTCATGCTATATTACTGTTGTTGTTGTTGTTATTAGACATTTCAAGCACCTCCACTTCAGATACAACAGCCAATCCGACATCTTCAACAGACACGCAGCAGCTGCAGTCTTCTGCATCACTGGACAGCAGCTCTTCACTTCCTGATTCCTCAACCCTTTTTGAACCAATCAAAACAGACCCTTCAGATCGTAAGTGCCTGTGCTTTTGAAAATGAGCATGATTCTGTCATTAATCTTTATTGAAAGAAGATTCTGGTCTGAAATGTTGAGTCTGGCTTGGGACAGTACCATAAAAGTGATTAATTAAAATTCCTTTAATGCTTTAAAGTTCTGAATCAGTTGAAGCAAATTGGCTTGCTTAAGCAATTCTGACTCGGCTTTCTCTTCGTTTTCTCAGTGCTGGATCTCCCCAAAGAACTTTCAGAAATGTTTGACCCTAAAGGTGAGGACCTGTATAACATGCTAGACATGTGCTGCTCCTTGTTGATGTTTATCATCTATTGCTGATATGCAATGTTCCCTCTTTTTTTCTTGCTGAGCAAAACTTTTCTCTATTGGGTGGACATTTCGGCCACCTGACCAAAAACATTCTTTATACCAAACCTGTTCAGTGCACACACACAAAAAAGTGTGTAACTTTTAACTATTTATATTTGATTTGACCCTTGATGTAACTAAATGATGCACATTTTAGGTTACCTGAGAAAACATTTTTACCAAGAAATTCTATAAAAAAAAATCATAAATCTCACACAGAACAGTTCTTTACAATATCATAATATAATGTAATATAATATGAAAAAATTGAGCAGTTATTGCTCATGAATTCCCTTTTTGAGGTCAGTTATTTATTACGCTTATAATATAATGTAATATAAAAAAAACAAATATTTTCAATAAAAAAAAAAGTGAATTCTTTTACAGTTATCTAAAACATCCCATGTTTGCACACTACACCTGTGTGTAACTGTAAATGTCTCAGAGTTTTGTTACCGTTTGCCCGAGAATTGCAATTCTTTTGCATTTACTAGAATTCAATCAAATGGCTTTACCAACACATTTTTGTGTCTGTCTTATGCTCTACATATTATTTCTTCTGAGAGGCTGCGACATAAGAAGTGTGCGGCTGTGTACGCAGCTTAGAACGAACATTGCTGATAAGCTTAACTGAACCAGAGAATCTGATTTTATGTAGCACAAAGAAGAATTGTTTTCATATTTGTCATGTTTCCTTTCTCCATACAGAAATTATGAGTACAGATTTGCTTGAGGAGCTGATGTCATCAGAAGGTAAAGCCGATCATGAGTCAGGCCACCTGTATATAGTCTATTACTAAACATGAAATGGAAGTTTGGATGTTTATGTATATAACAAATCCTGTGTTTATGTATTCTATTATGTATATAATCAATAAAAGTAGTTCAAATTTGACTGTCAACTGAAATTGTATCCATTTTAGAAAAAAAATGCTCAATGACATCATGATGGGTGTGATGAAAAATCAAAGGAGCAACTGTTAGACAGTTTCATATTGTTACACAAACATGGCCATAGTATCACTCTTCTTCTCTCTTTCTCTTTCATAGTTTTCTCTCCGCTCCTCCGTCTATCCCCTCCTCCGGGTGACCATGACTACATCTATAACCTGGATGAGACGGAGGGCCTTTGTGACCTCTTTGACGTTCCCATTGCCAACCTTTGACCTCCAAACACACCATACAGTGAGAGTAGTGTACTTAAAAGAACTTTCTTTTTTATTTACCCTTTTGAAAGGAGAAAAAAAGAAAGTGTGGCTCTGTGTCAGATCCATATGTATGATAAGCTGATTCTGTGTGTATATAAAGCTTTTTTTATGTGTATATTTACTCCAACCCCAAAGCGGCTGACTGAAAAAGAACTTTCCCTGCTAAATTCAACTGATCCAATCTGATGAAGACATCAGACATCCATACAAACCATTTTTGTTAATTAGACCCAAACTAATTGTTTTTATACTGCTTTTGTATAGACGTCGAGGGAATTTCATGTTTATCACAAAATAGACTAAATTCACCAGCAATGGTTAATGGTTCCATGAAAATACCAGCTAGATGTGTCTTTCTAAATGGTCTTCCTCTTCTAAAGTAGCACCTTTTCTCTTATACAGATTGTTAATGAAACGGTGTATTTCTTGTGTGATTATTCTTTTGAAGAAAGCATGCCTCTAATGCATACATTTTGAGGCGATTCTGCTTGTAGGAAGAAGTTTGTTCTCATCTTGCAGCAAATGACAGCTCTTGGAAACACCATGCCGAAGTAATTAAGTTACACTAATAACTTAGTGGGGAAGATTGCATTGCAGAATAGCCTGTCCTGTGTGGGTTTGATACAGTTTGGTGCTACATGGCAAAATCTATTTATAAGAGTGTCGATCCTTAGAAAAAGTGAAGGAACATACTTTGTGTTGGATGAACCATTCCTATATTGAGTGTGCTTTTTTAATCCTGTGTGTCTCACTCACAAAATTATGGAAGCTAGTTTTCACCATGGAATAAAAAAATTAGAAGGGTAATTGCAACTCTTTTTCTCAGCAATTCGGAGAAAACTGAAATGGATTCACAGTTGCAAGAAAAAAATCAGAATTGTAGGAAAAAGTTGCAATTACCGTTTCTGTTTGAAACTAAAAAAAATTGAGATGTAAACTTGAGAGAATTCAGAGAAAAAAGTCAGAATTGCGAGATAAAAACTCTGAATTACAAGAACTAATTGTGAGAGATGAACTCAATTGCGAGGAAAAAAAAAAGTCAGTGACTTTTTTTTCCATTCTGTGGCAGAAACTGTCTTTCATATAAAATGGTTAGCTTACAGTGTGAATAAGGTCCTGTACAAATGTTAAATTAGATGCCAGTTGCTATTTTTGTATTTTAAAAAATCGTCCCTCCCTATGTTTTCAGTCCATAAAGTACATCTGTCCTTATCCCGTTTGTATATGTGTATAGATTCTTTTGAAAATAAGTGACATCTTCATTATGTCTGTATATGAGACAAACTGTCTAAAGAAGGATGTGGGTTTGGGGGGGAATTAAAGAGAAGTCACAATATGACAAGAAATAGAGTACCAATGTGCTGTGTATTAAGCGCTGTCCAAACAGAATGTCATTATGTGGGCTCCTGACTGTGTCGGTACTAATGGTTGGCCCCATTAAAATCATTTCTTGTTTTCTTAATGTTCCTATCTGCTAAATGATATTTTTATGCTTGTACACAGTAAGCATTTACCATTTATTTTTGTACTTGATAGATCTCCAACTGCTCTGGTTTTCATTAGATAAATAGTCTGCAGTTTCTTCTGTCTAGTTTATCTCCACATTGCACTTTAAAACAGTTTATCACACAGGTAACTTCCAGCCCTATGCGTTGATTGGTCTGGCCGAGTCAGTTTTACAGTATCCAGGGAATTCAAGAATTCAAATCTGGTTTTCAGATTTTCACGGTCATTGTAAAATACCGGAATTGTTGTTCTTTACTGGAATTGTCATCCCCATGAAATAATGTTTTTGTATTTGTGATGCTCTTGAATTTATCTTTGTTTGATTTTAAGGCATTTGCTCCTGCTATGCTTCCTTGTTTTTTTTCCCTTCACCTAATTCCTTAGGAGTCTGTCATACTGCTTCAAGGTGCTTGAGTCATATCCTGCAGATCCAGGCATTTCTGTTCTAGTTTCACTTGAATAGGTCTGTTGTAGTGTAGTGGTTAAAAACTTGGGTTGGTAACATAGTTTGAGTATTTGCACCATCAAAGGATTGATCTGAAATATTACCATTTTGCTTTAAGGCACCAACCTTGGGTTTTTGGTTGCTAACTTAAATTAATGTAGTCAATTAAGTATAAATAACATTGTTTAGCTATTATATAAGGAAGTCAAAAAAGTTTTCAGTTATCACAGCAGTTAAAGCAAGTTATTTTATCTTTCAGTAAACAGTCACACCAACATAAATTGCATTTGGTAATTATAGCAGCATTGCTTGTTTGTGTCAGGATAATTATTTATATACATCAACAAATCTGCTGTTATATTTCATTGTAGATTTAAATATCACAAAAACGTAAGTGTTTTGTCTTATATGTGAACAATTAAGTGAAGTGTCTTCTCATAGGATAAGAACATGCAGTCTCATGAATAATTTAATAGACACCAACACGTCATCCATGTACTATAGTCCATTGCCACATCACAAATTGTGACGTCAACCCCGAAGATGAAAATAGCGCAAAAATGCTTAAAATTAACCAACAGTTAAAATTATCGGATGTTAACATTGTCTGGACTTTGCTATCCTAGGTACTACCAAAAGTCCAGAGTTTTGCGACCTTAGGGAGCGTGATGGATTGTAGCGTGGTAGAAGACTAGTTAGGTACGCAGGAGCTAACCCATTAAGGGCCTTATAGGCAAGTAATAATATTTTGTAACTGATACGGTATTTAATAGGTAGCCAGTGCAGAGACTGTAAAGACGTAGTTATAGACATATAGACGTAGTTTCAGCCTCAGATGGCACACTCATGGGCCACCCACAGTCTGTTCACTGACTATCTGATGCATATTGCATGCAAAAATAGGTAGAGATGACTGAAATCACTCACTTCTTTCTGATATTTTGGGAAATATCTCCGTGTCGTTTGTCCATACAATGAAAATCATAAGGCCCAATGCTGTTTCGGACCCAATATAGAAACAAATATTCTTCAAAGTATCTGCTTTAAACAGAAAAAAAGAAAGTCATACAGGTTTGAATGACATTACTGAATTTTCATTTTGTCTGGGCTGTTCATTTAAGTTATATGTTTACAATGCACTGGGCAGCTACTATGAACTTTTGAGGAAGAAGAATTTGCAAGGTTATTATTGACGTCAAATCCTTGAAAGATCATGAGAGTTTTGTTTAACACTTAGCAGCAAGTTAACTAGATTTTCATGAGCAGCACTGTATTTTCTTTTTTTTGTGACCTGTAGAAGACAGAAATTCATGCAGGTTTGGAACGACATGAGGGTAAATAATGTAAATAATGACAGAATTTTAATTATCACTTTTTATCGCTTTAACATTCTTTATCACTTTTCACTATAGAACAGTGTGTAAACTGAACTGTGGTTGGTGTAGACTAGTCTTAAAGGGATAGTTCACCCAAAAATGAAAAATTCTGTTATTATTTACACACCCTCAAGTTGTTCCAAACCTGAATGAGTTTGTTTCTTCTGTTGGACACAAAAGATGATATTTTGAAGAATGTTGGGAACCGAACAGTTGATGGCCCCCATTGACTCCCATAGTATGGAAATATACAATGGGAGTCAAAGGAGACCAGCAATTTTTTTTGTAAATGATGACAGAATTTTCATTTTTGGATGAACTATCCTTTTAATGGTGATAGTCACAAGTGTAGGTCTGTAGGAGGCAAGTAGAAAATGAGAGCACTTACCAATAGCACTTACTACCATTAATCCCAGCATGCTGACTTAAATGTAACATAAAGCACAACCTGAGAGGGACACACAAGTTCTCTTTTAAAAGAGGAAGACTGTAAACGCAGAACACACAGTCACCCACAATCACCCTGGAAATAGAATTAGTGACACATTTAGCATCCTGGCACTTGTCCACACTCTTCACCTTGGTGACATTTCAGTATGTTTGTGTTTGGTTGGCACAGTTGCTCATACACTTTGAAAAGTGTTTGTACCCATTGTTTGAATACTTGTAGGTTGCTTTTAGTGTTTATTTCTTCCCCCCCCCCTTCTCTTTCAGGGTTGTAGACGTACATTTTTCAACATGCCGCAGCAAAAGGATATAGTAAAGATTGCCATTCAGATGCCGGGCGCATACCCGCAGCTCATTCAGCTAGACCAGGTGAGCCGTTGTGCACTTCCTGTCATAAAAAGGATGTTGACCAGTGTGCAATGTGCATGCAACAGAGCGAAACTCAGCGGTAGTGAGCATTTGAGGAATAACAGCACTGTTTATTCAGTGTCATACTGAAGTTCACGGATATAAATACATTTCATAAAGACGAAGGGATTTATGCAAATGAGAAAGTTATGGCTGAATACTGTAGGTTTGAGTTTTGAGAAACTTTGATTATTCATTCTTGCTTACAAGTGCAAAATGTGTGAAAGTGAAATAGCAAGGTTTTGTAATAACAGCTTTCACTGTGAAATTTGAAATCAGAGATGATGCATTTGTGTACAAGAATAATCTGATCATTTCATTTGATTTTCTCTGTATTGTATGAGAGTTATGCCTAACTCATTACTCCTTTAACAACCTGTCCTCAGTAATGAATACGAAATGAAATTATATATTAAACTTGAGAAAAACATAGATATAGATAGATATATATAATAAATATAAACGTATCTTTTAAAAGAGCATTACTATGTTCTGAAGTAAACCTATATTTAGGCTATAAATAAAATAATTTCTGAAATAAAATAAATATAATAGATAATGATATATGTGATTATAATGATATTATGTATTTTTATAGTTTTATTATTATTATTATTTATTTATCTTTTTTATTTGGACTGAGATGTCTTGAATTCCAGGACTTGGTTTTTAATGAAGCGAGACCAGATTTAGTTTTACAGACAAACTTTAAAAAACCTTTTATACATTTTTATTATTATTTCCTTTTCATTTCTTGTTTAATGTAGTATATTTATTTATTAACTTTTTCCCCTTCTATTTTTTTCTTGTTTCTTGCTATGAATATAGCCGTGGTAGATGGCATGGCGTTAAATTATAAACAATCTTTCAGTCAGTTCGAATTGTAGTTTTTATTTGCATAATTATTTTTAAAAGGTCTGTCACAATTTTGTCAAATTTTAAGACCGTTTTATTTTAAGATTTTGTTTTAAAGTTGTTTTAGATAAGGACCTATCTATGGGTAGCTAAAACATTGGGAAATACAAAATGGTTACTGTATTTAGTAAACTTTCTTATTATATAATTCTAATTAATTAATCACAGGCAAAATTAAAAAAAAGATTGTATTATAACATATTTGTAATTCAAATTGATTTGGTCTGTAAGATCAAAGACTTTCTGCTTCTTACAAATCATAACCAATTAGTTCATTCTCAGTTGTTTTGAATAGGCTCATATGGGGTCTACCTTCTCGAAACAATAGGGTGGACAAAGGCTGAGCATATTCACTATCTTCAGAGGCTTTGATCCCATTGTTTGGGACATCCTAACAGAATGTGTAAATGTCTTAAAGACCCGCTGTTGTCACAGAAGCTCTCCTTTGGGTTTTCTAAACCATGAGATAACTGGGTTGAAATATGAATGAACCTGTTGTTTGACTCTGATTGGTACGTAAGGATTAGTTAGAAAGAACCTCAAACCCCCAGTGACCTTCCCTTCTGCATTTCCTCACCATCCCAAACGCTTCCACTCACTGCCAGCCCGTTCACCACAAATTATAGGCCACTGATTGGTCTACCGCGGAACACCAAAATTTCTGATCGGTGAGCCACAGGAGCTGCCACAAATTCTGAGATATTTCAGATGTTGACTTGGGAGAAGCTTTTCCCTTTTTATTTTGTCACTTGTTTTGTTATGGTTGAAATGCTTTAAGACGAATGAGTGAGCGTTCACGTCTTCATTGTTATTTTCTAAAGT